CTTGGCTGCACTCAGGAGGGTAGCTATAAATAAAACGTTTAGCTGCCTTAGTAAGAAACCCAATAAACCCAAAAAAGGTAAGGAACTAAAGTTACAGTAAAGTACCACAAAAAGGAAGGTGCTCTGCATGGGTGTCTGGAGGGCTGCTGGGTGACTCAGCTTCAGGGTCGGTGACTGCGGGAAGTGACGGGGACTTCAGGGTTCGGCGTTCTTCGGGTTTTGGGGTTTAGGGCTTGGGGTTTAGGGTTTAGGGTTTAGGGTTTAGGGATGGGGGTTTAGGGTTTAGGGTTTGGGGCTTGGTAGCGGGTGGAGCAGCCTTTGCAGGCAGGTAGGGTTCAGGACTTGGGGTTTAGGGTTTATGGTTTAGGGTTTAGGGTTGAGGGTTTAGGGTGCAGGGTTGAGGGTTTAGGGTTTAGGGCTTGAGCTGTTCGGGTTTACGGCCTTAGCCCCAAAGCGCATATCAGAAACGTGCTTGGGCCTCTCGGAAGTGGAAGTTCATGCAGCCGCGGCTCTCATCGCCACCTTGGCGACGTTGAGGAGATGGGGTTTAGGGTTTAGGGTTTAGGGTTTAGGGTTTAGGGTTTAGGGTTTAGGGTTTATAGGGTTTAGGCCTTGTAGGGTGAAGGGCTTATGGGTTGAATGGCGCAAACGTCTAAACATATTAGGGTTTGTAAGGTTAAGAATTAAGGTTTGGGGGTGATTTCGTACCTCCTGGACATCCACCGACAGACCCCCCAACCCTTAAACCCTAAACCCTACAAGCCCTATAAACCCCATAAACTCTATGAACCCTACAAACCCGATAAACCCTATAAAACCCTGTAAATCCTAAAAAACCCAGACAAAAACATATAAACCGGATAAACCCGATGAACCGATAAACCCGATAAACCCTGCACCCTAAACCCTAAACCCTAAGCAGTAAACCCTAAACCCTGAACCCTAAACAGTAAACCCTAAACCCTAAACCCTAAACCCTAAACCCTAAACCCTAAACCCTAAACAGTAAACCCTAAACCCTAAACCCTAAACCCTAAACCCTAAACCCTAAACCCTAAACCCTAACCTAAACCCTAAACCCTAAACCCTAAACCCTAAACCCTAAACCCTAAACCCTAAACCCTAAACCCTAAACCCTAAACCCTAAACCCTAAACCCTCAACCCTCAACCCTCAACCCTAACCCTAAACCCCAAACCCTAAACCCTAAACCCTGCACCCACCCCACTGCCGAAGCGGACCCGGGCAGCGGTCTCGGGCTGTTGGCGGTATCCAGCTCGAAGGGCGAAGTCAATTCCAAAGGTCCATTTACAAGGTTTAGGGTTTAAGGCTAGGTTTTAGGGTTTAGGGTTTAGGGTGTAGGGTGTAGGGTGTAGCGTTTAGGGTTTAGGGTTTAGGGTTAGGGTTTAGGGCTAGGGTTCAGGGCTTCGGGTTCAGGGTTTTTGGGTTTAGGGATGGTTTAGGCTTTCGGGTTTTTTTAAAAAGAGGAGGGAATCCAACATCAAAAAGGGGAACCTACCTTAGGGTTCAGTTGGGGACAGGTGTTCTGAACAAGTATCCTAAACCCTAAACCCTAAACCCTAGACCCTAGACCCTAAACCCCAAATGATTCAGCCCCCGGCCCCGAAAAACCCTGGCCCTACACAACCCCAACCCCCTACATCCTAAACCCTAAGCCCTAAACCCCCTAACCCCCAAACCCCCAAACCGAAACCCCTAAACCCCTAAACCCCTAAACCCCTAAACCCCTAAACCCCTAAACCCCTAAACCCCTAAACCCCTAAACCCCTAAACCCTAAACCCTAAACCCTAAACCCTAAACCCTAAACCCTAAACCCTAAACCCTAAACCCTAAACCCTAAACCCTATAACCCTATAACCCTAAACCCAACCCCCAAGGGAGCCCTATCCCTCAAAAGCTGAAAGCCCAGAGCCAAGCCACCGAAGTTGTTGGGCTCTCCTCGTGCCCAGTGCTCGTAGTCCAGCTGTGTCCTTGGAAGGGGTTCAGGGTTTTGGGTTTAGGGTTTAGGGTTTAGGGCTACGGTTTAGGGTTTAGGGCTTTAGGGTTTTAGGGTTTTAGGGTTTTAGGGTTTTAGGGATTGAGGGTTTGAGGGTTTCAGGGTTTTGGGCTTTTAGGTTTTTGCGGTTTTTGGGTTTAGGGTTTAACGGCTTTGTGTTTGGTCTTAATTGTAAACGCTTGCGCGCGCCGCCTCGGCAGCCGGGCCGGCCCCAGGACAGGAAAAGAGGAAAGAGGGTTTCTGCAAAAAAAGGGAGGTCGCAGGGAGGTTCCAAAGGCGTTGGTGGGGGGGGGTTGGGGGGGGTGGTGGGGGGGTGCGTTTGAGGCGCTCCGTCTGTACTCCACAGACCGACAGACAGGGGTGCGTCACAAAATTTAGCAAGGGGGGAAGGGTTGGGTTAGGGGGAGGCTTCGGGTCTGCTTGTTCCAGACGCTTGCCCTGAGCGCTAGAATTAAAAAAATCAGCGACTTCACCAATGTCTTGCAGCTCGATTCAGTGTTGTGCGCTGGCCCCCCGCCCCCCCACCCTCCCCCCCCCCCCCCCCGCCGCCCCCCCCCCCACCCCACCCCACCCCCCTTCCGCCCCCACCCCCTTCCCCCCCCCCCCCCCCCCCACCCCAAAGGTGGCCCCCAAGACCTGAAGTGATCAGAGCTGTTGCTGAGGGCTTCGCCCATCCAGCCATTCCCAGTACTCGGACCTCCGAACGAGTCTAAGGCGTGCTGAGGTTGCGGTTTAGGGTTTAGGGTGTTCTGGTGTATCAAGGCACGGGTTTAGGGGTTGAGGAGCTCAGGGGTTTAGGGTTTACATGGGTTTAGGAGTTTGGGATTTAGAGGTGAGGATTTAGGGCTTTAGGGACTTAGGCGGTTTAGGGGTTGAGCAGACAAAGGGCTTAGGGTATACCTTTCAACCATCCCCACATGTTTTTTTCTGGGTTCCATAGTTGAGCGGTGTGGAAACTCAAGAGACAAAGAAAATCTTCGAAATTGGTACAGAACCCTGTTTAGAGCGTCTGTTTGGTCGGCGTACACTTATTACCACCTTCCACTCGAAGCCTTGTCGAGATCAGCAGCAAAATTCCCAGGTGTCCAACCTTTCCGCTATTTTCCGCTCCATTTGCATTGGAAACGCGCTGCGGCCTGCCATGCGATTTCAGACACATGGGAAGAACCTGTTCTGATCTTGGGAACCTAGCAAAAACTATCAATTCATAGCTGTTCTGATCTTCGGATTGTAGTGCCCGAAAAACAAAAACCTTGGCCTCACGTGTAGCGAGAATGTTTTCTCTTGCGGCGTGCCCAGCGTTGGAATTGGCTTCCATGGTCTGAGTGTTGCCGCCGGTGCTGTCCTTGCCTACAGCTCGTGGTGGCGAACGCCGGCTTGCCGGCAGGCCGGGAGCAACGACGCATTTTGGCATCAGTCTTGTGCTGCGTTTTTGAATGCTGGTTGCCTGTTCATTTCCCAAGCTTTCCAACTCAATTGGACCTCTCCTCGACGCAATGCTGTAAGCGGTGCACAAGGGCTGCCTGACTCCAAAACATGACCCGATGCTGAAACCCTAAACCCTAAACCCTAAACCCTAAACCCCAAACCCCAAACCCCAAACCCTAAACCCTAAACCCTAAACCCTAAACCCTAAACCCTAAACCGAAACCCTAAACCCTAAACCCTAAACCCTAAACCCTAAACCCTAAACCCTAAACCTTAAACCTAAACCCTAAACCCTAAACCCTAAACCCTAAACCCTAAACCCTAAACCCTAAACCCTAAACCCTAAACCCTAAACCCTAAACCCTAAACCCTAAACCCTAAACCCTAAACCCTAAACCCTAAACCCTAAACCCTAGCCATCTCAGGGGAGCTGGGCAACTGCAGGCCCTTGGGAGCACTGAGATGCTCAGGATGGCAAGGTATCATCCAAAAATGGCGGGGGAGGGTACGCAGCACTTTCCGACAGCTTAAGGTTCAAGGTTTAGAGTTGAGGGTTTAGGTTCAGGGCATCTATTTGCTTAAGAACAACCACCCCCCCCCCCCCCGCCCCCCTCACCAAAAAAAGTACAATAAGCCCCACATTGCCCTTATGAGTAGGAATACATAGGGGGGGGGGGGGGGGGGTGGGGGTGGGTGGGTTCGTAAGCAGTTGATAGCAAGTTTATGCACTGCAAGACTTCCAGCTTTGCGCATGATGCGGATTGCGCGGCGCTCCTTGAACATAGCATCGCACACTGTACAGCACATCCCAGGTGTATACATATATACATGCACACTGTACGTGTGTATGGATATACATATATACATATTTCCATAAATACATCTATACATATATACAGATATATACGCATATATATATATATATGTATACACATACATACATACATACATACATACATACATACATACATACATACATACATACATACATATACATATACATATACACAGTATGCGTACGCATCAAACTGAAGCTACATCTCATAATTTTGCAGAGAATTTCCTTCCTGGTAGCAGTGCGACTCGGCTTCCCTCACGTGACACGCTTCCTTTGTGTGATATACACTGTACTTGGAGGTTCATGGTAGTCATTAACCAATAGGGTTTAGGGTTTAGGGTTTAGGGTTTAGGGTTTAGGGTTTAGGGTTTAGGGTTTAGAGTTTAGGGTTTAGGGTTTAGGGTTTAGGGTTTAGGGTTTAGGGTACCTATCAACCAATTATAGCTGTACTTGTAACCCACTTATAAGCACCTTAAGTGCCCTAATAAGTACAGTCATCAGTACTGTCATAATTGGTTACATAGGTACTATGAACCTCCAAGTAGCCTGTAGAGGACTACGTAAACTAGGTGCAGTATACTACGCACTGTGTACATTGCAGGAAGAAGGATCGAGGGGTCACGTGAAGATCAACTCTGAGCCACAAAAAGGGAGTTGCCGCCCCCTTGCCAGGTTAATTAAGATGAGATTGTGAATTGACGACCATGGTGAAAACGATTAGTTGGAACTCCAACATTGCAGGAAGCCCTCGTTCTCATCCTCTGATGAGCCTGAAGCGTTGGGTGAGCTGGGATGCTCCCGCCGCTGCCGCTGACGCTCGCGCAACTGGAGGTAGCACAAAAAGCCCACGAGCGCGGTGAAGAACACAGAGAAGCAGAGGCTTACGTAGAGGTTTTGGTAGCTGTCGTTCTGCTCGCCCAGAGCGACCTCCTCAATCTGGCTTGGATTCTCCAAGGCGACAGCGCATGCCTGTAAACTCCGGCCTGACGCGGTTTAGGGTTTAGGGTTTATAAACCCTAACCCTATAAGGTTTAGGGTTTAGGGTTTAGGGTTTAGGGTTTAGGGTTTAGGGTTTAGGGTTTAGGGTTTAGAGTTTAGGGTTCCTGTAAACTCCGGCCTGACGCGCCTGTCGTGCGAACCCAGCAAGGCCGGGAGCTCTCGTTGCCCCACCTCTTCGCAACGTCTTCCGACTTCCACACAGAGCTATCACTGTAGGCTTTTGACGAGGAGTAGATGGCTTCGGAAATGGCCGGCGCACCATACCTACATAGGATGGCCCTCAAGACCCTCTGAAAAAAATCTTAAATGTTATACCCTCTTAAACCGAATACGGGAAACATAAAATGTCCCAAGGGCCTACCTAGAGACTCATACGCGCAGCGTAGCTGGCTTGGGTCAAAGGCAGGGAAGCCGTCAAAGCCCTGATTGCTGGAGACGACGACCAGTGCCCAGGGCGCGTAGCGAAAGCGATACTTGTCCGACACTGTGAGCCGCCGCTGGGTTGCACTATTGAAGTCGGTAAGCACCATCTCAGAACACTCTTTCTTCTGTAGGTACGGAGGCTCATGTTGCTTTACAACGTCCAAAATGCCCTGAGGGGTGCACCAGCAATGCTTGTCACGCCATTGTGCAGGATCCACTTGGTAAGGCTGTCCAGATTGATCCGTTCCGCATCTCCACTGGCCGTTCGAGACCACCTTATACCCTCTCTCTGCCTCCGGTATGGTGTAGACTTCGCCATTGAACAGCTCCGGAGCAAAGGTAATCTCGCCTCTACAGTCGCACATGTCCCCATCTGTCGCGCACCAGTAAGTTCCCGGGCAAACCGCGACATCCTCGGTCAAAAACACTGGCGGCTGGCCAGAAGGCATCTTTCCCGCGCTGTAACCGGCACATGTGCTCTTACTCTGTTCGTCAATACAGCTGACCCCAGCAGCAAGCCTTAGTTGTCCAGCACCTAGGGGGACTAGAGGTTCACGGTTGGGATGATAGGGTTTAGGGTTTAGGGTTTAGGGTTTAGGGTTTAGGGTTTAGGGTTTAGGGTTTAGGGTTTGATAAGGGGATCATATTACCCCAAAACGGTTCAAGGCTGCACCTTTAGGATTCTAAGGGGATTCTACTACCCCAAGACCCGGAGGGTCCATTTGTAGTACTATTATGGAATTAGGTACCCAAAAACCATACTAAATAGGGTTTTGGGGTACCTAATTCCATAATAGTACTACAAATGGACCCTCTGAGAAAACCGGTTAAAGGTTGCATGCGCCACTACTAAGAAGCACGTCGCAGTGGGCCAGCTGCCATGCAGGCGGTGACTCCCATGCGCGCGCCTTCCTTACCCAGAGGGTCTATTTGTAGTACTATTATGGAATTAGGTACCCCAAAACCCTATTTAGTATGGTTTTTGGGTACCTAATTCCATAATAGTAATACAAATGGACCCTCTGGGTTAGTTGTCCAGTACCTAGCGAAACTAGAGGATAATCTGTGGGATTAGAAGGGGGATTATGTTACCACAAAAAGGTTAAAGGTTGCATACTCTACTACTAAGCTTCTGCACGAACTCGCTGGAGCGGAAGATTCCCACGACGCAGGCGCCGGTGAAAACCCACGTGATCAAGCAGCAGCAATGGACACGAGTGAACCAGTTGCAACAGTCATCCATCTTCTAGAGCTTCCCGAGATCTTCCCAGAATCCGGCCCTTTATCTTTCTAGGTCATTGAGAGTATCTGTAGACCATCTCAAAGCCTTAAGCTCAAGCTTCAATCATGACTTCTAGAACTTCCTTGATGATGACTACGGCCAAAGTTCTGCAACAACTGGACGCTACCGTAAGACTACCAGTGACTTCCACATGCTCTAGGGTTTAGGGTTTAGGGTTTAGGGTTCGTGACATCCCACAATCGCTTTAAAGATCCGCTTCAGTTTCTTCTGACAGAAATGGCAGCCGGGACCGAAGTGCTACGATGGGCTTAGGGTTTAGGGTTTAAGGTTTAGGGTTCTAGGGTTTAGGGTTTTTTAGGGTTTAGGGTTTTAGAGTTTAGAGTTTAGGCTTTAGGCTTTGGCGGAGTACCATGATACGGACAAAGGCTCATGTTGTAGAGGCTTAGGGTTTAAGGTTTAGGGTTTAGGGTTTAGGAATTAGGGTTTAGGGTTCAGGATTAAGAGGCTTTATGGACCTTGCGCGGTGGAGTGCATAGACTGCATGTTAGGGAAGGGTCGGCTACATTTTCATGACACGCTTGTTGGCTTAGATGGAGGTTATAAGGGAACCTAAACCCTAAAACAGGGAATAAGTGCCTACTCTGAGTCCTAGAGCCTCCAGATTTCAACCCTAAACCCGAAACCCTAAACCCTAAACCCTAAACCCTATAGGGGGCGCGCGCTCAGGTTGCGACCCTCGCTTCTCGGCAAGGCCAAGCCAGCACATGTGTTTCCCGCAGAGGTCTTGCACCTGCAACACGGGAGTCCAGGCAAGTATGCCGTTGGTTTAGGGTTTAGGGTTTAGGGTTTAGGGTTTTAGGGTTAAGGGTTTAGGGTTCTAGGGTGTATAACCCCTAAACGCTAAATCCTAAACCCTAAACCCCAAATCCTAAACCCTAAACCCTAAATCCTAAACCCTAAACCCTGTCTTTAAGGTTTCGGGCTCAGAGCTGATGGAGGGTCCTAGGGTGTTGTTCGGATTTTACGAGCTTTTAGGGCTTTAGTACTTCATAAGCACCAATCTGATAAATGTTGAAGTCCTACATGGTGCTCAACAACTTGTTCGAGTGTGTAAACGCAATGAAGGGATGAGCGCATACTACTCTACAAGCAAATGAGGGAAGTACCTCTTACTGTACTGAACTACATGTTGGTACATTGCTTGCCTCTGAGTTTTAGGTGGCTCTTCCCAGAAATAAGGGTGAGAGACTCTACGACAATCGAGACCCAACAAGCCTGCAAAGCTCAGAGACGCAAAACAAGAGCTCCTTTAGACCCAAAGTAGGGAGCTGTATCCTAACATGAACCCTAAAGCCTAACACCCTAAACCATCAACCCTAAACCCTCAACCCTAAACCCAACCCCTCAACCCAGAATGATAGTCTACGAGCTCTTAGTCCATCGTGCGGTTTACGGCTTAGAGGACCCTGTGCACTGCGCCCTAAACCCTAAACCCTAAACCCTAAACCCTAAACCCTAAACCCTAAGCCCTAAGCCCTAAACCCTCAACCCTCAACCCTCAACCCTAAACCCTCAACCCTAGCCCTTTTCTGCTCTCCGAGAGCCGGGCAAAGTACTGCTCGTCGTCCGAGCCGATGGAAACCAAGTGGGACCCAGACTCGCAGCAGTGGGTTTAGGGTTTAGGGTTTAGGGTTTAGGGCTTAGGGTTTAGGGGTTTAGGGTTTAGGGTTTAGGGTTTAGGGTTTAGGACCGTGGGCCTTGTGTGAGCGTTTGTAAAGGAGCCAAGAGCTGAACCGTTGGGAGCTTTGCAGGGGATTACCTTTTAGGGCTTAGGGTTTCGGGTTTAGGGTTTAGGGTTTAGGGTTTAGGGCTTGAGGTTTAGGGCTTAGGGCCTCGGGTTTGGGGGTTTTCGGAGGCGCACAGCCTTGAGGGCAACATGCAAGACGTCAGAGTGCTGCCCATACCCTAAACCCTAAACCCTAAACCCTAAACCCTAAACCCTAACCCCAGAACCCCGAACCCCGGAGCTTGGTGCTTCGGATTCCATGAGCTGCTGAGGGTGCAAGCAAGGCTAAGGTTTAGGGCTTAGGGTTTCAGGGCTAAGGGTTTAGGGTAGAGAAAGTGGACCCTAAACCCTAAACCCTAAACCCTAAACCCTAAACCCTAAACCCTAAACCCTAAACCCTAAACCCTAAACCCTAAACCCTAAACCCTAAACCCTAACCCCAGAACCCCGAACCCCGTAGACGTGCAAGTCAACATGAGCCCTGAGCCCCCTCCCTTGCTCATCGGTTACTGCAGGGGGTTGGAAGAATTACCAGTAGCTTTCCCTTATGGTCCCTATAGAATGATACTAGACTAGCCCCCACCCTAAACCCTAAACCCTAAACCCTAAACCCTAAACCCTAATTATGAAGGCCCCTATATTAGCTGGAAGGCATCTCTTTCGCTGCCTGCCTCACGACATCGACTCACCGACTCCTGCGGCGTTAAACCCTTAATCCCGTAAACCTCTCATTGTAAGGGTCCTTTGGGGTTACAGGTTTAGGGTTTAGGGTTTAGGGTTTAGGGTTGAGGGTTTAGGGTGTATAGAGTTGAGAGTTGAGGGTCCTGAGAAGGGAGGGGGGTTCAAGGGGGGTCCGTAACCCTAAACCCTAAACCCTAAACCCTAAACCCTAAACCCTAAACCCAAGGTTCCCTGATACCCCCCACCACTCCCTAAGGCTCCCTAAGCCCCCAGGCTTCGCTCAGGCTCCCTCGGTCCCTACCCTCTAGGGTTCAGGGTTTAGGGTTTAGGGTTTAGGGGTTTAGGGGTTCGGGGTTAGGGTTTACAAAGCCCGGAAGGGGATGTTTACACATGCTACTTCTGAAAAATCTGTCAACCTAAGCCCTAAAACCCCCACCCCAAGTAGGTCCTATTTGGGAACAAAGCACCTTGCATCGTCCCTATGTTTTTGTTGTTTATTGTTTAAATCCTTTTAGGGGATTATATACGTGTCAGACTTCCCTAAACACACTAAAACCCTAAATTCCCTAAACCCTAAACTCCCCAAATCCCCTAAATCCCTATACTTGACAAACCCTAGATTCCCGAACCCCCCTAGAACCCTGAACCCCTTAAACCCTTAACTCCTGAAGCCCGAATTTTCCTTAACTGTAAACAGGTAAAACCCTGAACTCCCTAAACCCTATACTCCCCAAGCCCTGGCAAGAATAACACAGACCCTCCCTAAACCCTAAACTTTAGGCCCTAAACCCTACACCCTACAGCCTAAACCCTAAACCCTAAACCCGAAACCCTAAACCCTAAACCCTAAACCCGAAACCCTAAACCCTAACCCTTAACCCGAAACCCGAAACCCTAACCCTTAACCCTAAACCCCCCCCCCCCCCCCCGCCCCCCCCCCCAAACCTTAAAGTCGGCGGGCCAGTGGTGAAAGCGATAGCAGGACTGCCTGCTGCCAGAAGGGGGTTGCTGGGGTTGCCTAGGGTATAGGAGTTTAGGGCTTAGGGCTTAGGGCGTAGGGGTTAGGGCTAGGGTATAGGGTATAGGGTCTAGGGTTTAGGGCTTAGGGTTTAGGGTTTATAGGGTTTAGGGCTTAGGGTTTAGGGTTGCTTAGTAGGGTTTAGGGTTTATAGGGTTTATAGGGTTTATAGGGTTTATAGGGTTTATAGGGTTTATAGGGTTTATAGGGTTTATAGGGTTTATAGGGTTTATAGGGTTTATAGGGTTTATAGGGTTTAGGGTTCAGTGTTTATGGAAGCCTTACATGTACCCTAGTCACCTGACGCAAGCCTCTGGACCCAGTCTCTTCCCCAAGCGGCCATGGTCCATGCAGCTATGTAGCATGCACCTTTGCCCAAAAGCTAGTATAGAGGAACCCTTGTACAGCACAAGTGTCTTTATACCCTTAGGAATCTAGCTGTTCCGAGAACTTCTGCGCCTTTTAGTGCTTGATCTAAGTTCGGATGAATTGTGGATGCGGGGTTTCGGACTTTGTGATAAGTGGAATGCAGGTGCCAAGCTGAAGGCAGCAATCAGTGAACCCGCATTGGAGGCGGACTTCAAGACTATGTTTCTTGGAGGTTCCTGAAGAACCAGCAAGTCTTGCTCTGCTGTACGCATGTAACTTGGCTGCACTCAGGAGGGTAGCTATAAATTAAACTTTTAGCTGCCTTAGTAAGAAACCCAATAAAACCCAAAAAAGGTAAGGAACTAAAGCTACAGTAAAGTACCACAAAGGTAAGTACGTGCGTCTATGCATGTAGATGTGCGCACAGAGTTGAACATGGTTATGTATGCAGTCAACACTTGGCCACTCGCCCACACGCTGGGGTATCGGGTATGAAGCCTGAAAGTAGTGAAGGGTTTCGAGGCTGCAGGTATTACCTGAAACAAACACAATGTGACAAAGCCCAAGGCTGTAGAGACTAGGGGTTTAGGACTTGGAGGTATACTCTAATCCCTTCTCTCAGGACCTGAAGAACCCCAAACCTGTGTTTATGAGAGAATAATACGAAACCCCCTTTGCAGGCTTCTAAGGCAGGGTCAAAGCCAAAAAAGTGGGTTGTTCTTAAGGTGCACGCTACCCTAAACCCGAAACCCTAAACCCTAAACCCCGAAACCCTATACACCCGAACAAAAACCCGGAGTAAGAGCTGCAGACCCACATTCCCTAAACCCTAAACCCTAAGCCCTAAATCCTAAACCCGAAAAGAAGAGCTGCAGTGGGCCCCGGCCCCCAGCGCAACCAATCGTGAGGACACTCGTCGTCCACAACTCTCCCCTCGCAGATGGCCTCTGACCAGCGCAGGGTCATAAAGGGGTCTCCTTGCTAGACTTTAGGGTTTGGGGTTTGGGGTTTAGGGTTTAGTGTTTAGGGTTTAGGGTTTAGCCATCACACTCCAACCCAATCTAGGGCTCTAATTCTAAATGATTCCAATGTTTAAGACTCTGCTTCTAGCTAAGGGGAGAGGTTTAGGATTCCGCGTCTACTTGC